CTTTTGGCACAGGATATAGGACATTCAATGTTTAATTACTTTAAATGCCAGTGAGATATTTGCTTTTTACTTAGCAGTGAACAGAAGTAGCCCCCAACTCATTTAACACACAATGCAGGTTGGAGTGGGGGTGGAAGAGGTGCGTTTTGCCCAAAGCTTTTTTTTTTTCCTTCTGAAAAAAAAGCATAAATGCACAATTTCACAAGTTACTTTCACTAGCTATTCACAGAGACCTAATTATCAACTGTTACTATACCTCTAAATTCCAGAGAGAAGGACCATCAGGAATAAACCTCTTCAATTCTAGAAAATAATGACCTAAAAAACTTTTAGCAACCAAGATTTTTTTTTTCATTTGTTTTTTACTTATCTAGAAAGCTATTAATACAAGTCCATATAAAGTTTCTGGAAAGCCAACAAGCCACTACAACACTTAATGTGAGATGTTACTCACAAATTAGACTGTATCATCTAGGGAATACTAACATAGTAAATCTTCTGGGAACTTTACATGGCAATCATTGCTTTGGAAGCAAAACCAGCAAAATATCAGGAGATATATAAAAAAACATTACTACCAGAGTGATTGGATCCTCTGTCATATAGTGCAGTTGCACATTCAAAGGAAAAAAGCTATTATTTTTGAGAAGATGAGAACTTTGGAGTATTACTGCAAGGTGGCAGCCTGCTAGCCAAATTAAATCCCAAAGCAGGAAGCACAGACAAGATCAAGCAGTATCGACGATTTTGTTGCAGTTTTATATTAAACAAATAACGTGTCCTTTCTGTAGTTCTTATATGGATATCCCTGTGGAATTGGGATTCAGTATTGTTGTACTCATCCTGCCAAAAAAGAGGTTTCTTTTAATTTGTGCACGCCACCAATTATTATCTCAATCTCTATTTCTGTAGTTTCTTGGTAAAGAAGAGAAAAGTTTTCTTCCCCTCAATCTTAAAAGATAAGGCTAATAGACAGTAAAAGAACAGCTCACTAAACTTCTCGATTTCCATTTATTACTTCAGCTTCAAGAGATACTCGAACAGCCTTCATTTCAATTAAAAGGCTATCGGCCATCAGTTTAAAGCTCTACACATCCAGATGTGATGATCAAAAACCTGAGGGTAAGCCACAATGGTAAAAAAAAAACACCAACAAAAAAACAACCACCCCCAAAATAAGAGTGTTGCTGAAGTCTTACAGATATACAGTCCTTGTACTATGGATTTAAATATTTGTATAAATACGAAGAAACTGTTACCGTTTGGGCTGGCTGCATTCTACAACAAGAAAAAAGAACTCTTAAATATGTTAATGAAATGATTTAATCTCTGCTTCCGAGAACACTGCAGATTTTGTGTTACCACAGCTATAGAAAAGTATTTTTAAAGTTACCAGATCACATTTGTATGAGGAGGAATATGGACACAGTAAAGCATCAGCATCGAGAGTTACAAGAACTCACAAATCAACCCTTGTAAACAAATATTTGAGACGTACTACGTTACAGATAAAGGAAATCAGAAAAATCTGTAGGGTTTTTTTGTTTGTTTGTTTATTGAAATATGAGCAGCAGTATGCAAAAAATATCTTTAAAAACATAACATAGCAAAACCTAATAATTTTAAAATTCACAAAATAAAAAGATGTTTAGAGTTAAATGAAAAAACTCATTGCTAGAACTGTGTTTCCTACAATGTAAACAAAAGCATAAAGGTTATGCTTGCAACAAACACAGAAGCAGGTTTATGGAGCAGCACAACAAAGCAACATTATGTTTTAATCTGATGGTTTGGTCTATTGATTTGAATTCAGAATGGGTTACCTTCCTAAACAGAAACTTCACAACTACAAAAAAAAGTTAGTCACACCTTTGTCTTCTGAAGCAGAACATTTAGAAAGTGTTTTGGTTTGTATTTCTTTCTTTCTTTTTTTTTCCTCCTAAAACCCATCACTAGCAACACTTTGGGCAACTGAAACAGTATCTTGAAAAAAAAATTATTTCAAACTATGGAGAAAGCTTGACATATTTTAATGTTCTCTAGACTTACACTGCAAGAGTATCTGCCCAAGAATCGACAACTTTCACATTGTAATACTGTGGAAGAAAAAAAATAATCATAGCTTCAAGCAAAACCCAAAAGAATTCCAATTTTTTAAACAATTCTATACCGAATCATAACACATGGGCTGTTTCATCATTCTTTTGACTAACGGACTGTTCTGTTAGATTTGTCTCTCATTGGTCAGTCATACTAGAAAGTTTTATTTTGGTCCTATACGTACTATAACCCAATGTCATCCCTTCATGTACAACTACTCCACGCCTAATGCAATTAAATGAATGTGATACTTACGCAAGGCACTGGACCAACTGCCAGCAAGACTGAAGTCCTCTAAGGAGGAATATCCAAGCTAGTGTCTTATCTTAGTGACTATAAAAGCAAACCCAGAAAGAACTTCAGTACATGCCTGTTCTAGGCTCTTTGCTGGTATTGTCAAAGCTGTTAGTTAATGCTGTGGTTGGTGCAAAGTAGAAAGATGCCCAAAAAGAAGAAAATACTTACACTACAAAAGCCGAAACAGTTTTCGCTGAAGAGTAACATTCAGTCTAAGCTGAACACCAGAAAGGCTCCATCTTCCACTACCACACTACTGGCCGATTCAATTTCTCCACCTCTCCATCTAGATCAAGAAGTGACTTATACACAAGCATGCTGCGACAGAAGCAGCACTCTGCTATCACTATACTTGTATCATTAGGGTCAAACCGTTCTCCATCCAATCCATCTGTGCACTGAAATCTGAATTTTATATCAGCAGCACAGATGAACTAAACATTATTAGGAACACTGTGAACCAGCAGCACAGAAAATTTGCTAACTAGAAAGCTCTCAAAAGTCCTACTTAAAAGGAACAAAGTAGAACATAGACAAATCTTACTGGGTCTGCTCCTGCAAGCCTACCCTGGCAAAATCAGCAGTCACAAGGATATCCCCAGCACTGCATACATTACAGTTCAAGAATATGTACACAAGCAGAAAAATGCCAGAGTATTTTAGTACTTAATGACAGCATCAGAAGTGGGTTAACTGGATATTATTGCAGAAATTATGGTTCAGTGCACGGGTAGCCAATCTAACCACAATACTAGCACTAAGCACCAGCTCTGGCTCATGAACACCCACTTCAGCACCCATTCTTGAGTCATTTAGTTGGCCACATCTAAACATACAAGTGAACAGAGATGAAGCCAGGCAAAAAACATTTTGGATAAAGTAAAATCTTGTACCTACAACTGAGATCTTTCCTTAATCCAATGTGCCATGACAGTTGCTATAAAAACTAGTCAAGGAAAAAAAAAAAATATCCTGTAGTGTCAAATATAATTCAGCAACTCGACAAGTCAGGCCCAGGGAGAAGCAAATAGAAGCCTGATCCTGCAGCCAACTAACTTTGCATCTTATTTGATCAAAAGAACCAGCTGTGGGTTGCAGTTTCAAAGAATGAAAGAGAAGTCCCCAAAAGTGACCGGCAAATAATGTTATTCCCCTTCTCCTAAAGATGCACTTGTTGGTTTTTTTTAAACACACTTGAGAAACTGGTTAAAAAAAAACCCAAAAGATAAAAAAACAAAACACCAAGTAATATAGAAATTCCTGTACAAGAGAACATTAGGGTTCTGCAGAAGTGTTACAGTTTATTCCTTTAAGGCATTTCATAAGAAACATTTTAATGACACGTAAACAATTTTATTCCTTTAAGATCACTTGTTACTTAGGTACCATATGAGGCATGATTTCCACATTTGAGCAGAAACTTGTCATTCAAAGACACAAGAACTTGTGTAAGCAATCAATGTCTCAGGATTGCAGTAATTAACTGCAACACATCTTGTAACAAATATTTGCATTTTAGAGTTTTCAGCCTCTCCCCCAAACACTGAACCCTTTTCTGAAGAGGTGTTTGAGAAAGAGAAAGAGGAGGGTGAGAAGTTAAAAATACAATAGGTCTTTTTCTGCATGCAAAGAAGTTTTGTATATAATTCACTTCTAATTCTCTTAGAATATTTTTTCAGCCTCCTTTTTAGTAAAGGGGAAAAATATGCATATGTTATTTAACTGATTTCATTTAGTGTTTAGTACAGTGTTTAAGTTCTCTACTGAGTAATACAACAGCACAGGCAACAGGATTCCTTACATGTGCGAGAGAAATTTTGTCGCCATATTAATGCAGTCCTTCAATCCCATAAAGCTGCCAACTACAGTTACGAGTCTTCTGATTGAACACCTGCCATCAGAGACAGGATCGAGACCACTGTTTCATGTAGGCTACAAAGAAGTGATTACTTTTGGTCATTACCAACAGGTCTGTATTAAATTACATGATCTGCAAGTAAAAGCTTCTGCATTCAGTAACTAATTTGCTAAGCCACTCACAGTCTTCAAAGAGACTCAAACTCATACTGAAAGTGAATTAAATACAGTGTAATCACTAATACTGCGTAATGTCTACTGAGAGATTAAAAAGGCCTAACACAGATCAATTCCAGACAGGTAAAATAAACAGCTAGAACACCAAAAAGAAAACAAAAAAACTTATTCCTTCCAAAAAGTAGTAAGCACTGCCATTTACAAATAGTAGTGTTTATGTTAAAATAGAGAAGGGTACCTAAAAAGAAATAGCCTTGGCAACCAAATCCAACCAGCATGAGTGTAAATCAAAGCAAAACAAGAATTACTACTCCAGAAATGTGCAAGATGTTTACCTTGTATCAATTACTATTTAAAATGGTGGTTAAGAGATATTACAAAACTGAAGTGGGAAAAGGCTACAAACTGCTATTCTGCATTAATATACAGTGTGTTTATGACAGCATTTTCCAATAGACAAGTGTTTTTACACCACTCCAATATTTGTAAAAAGTGTGTTTCATGTGTACACTTAAAAAAAAAAATCACATTGTTCAATCTGAGGCAAATTAGCCATAATAAAGTCTAATTTTACTTATTACAGATGTCAAACTTAAGATGTTAAACAACTATGCTAAAAATACAGCTTGCAAGCTGCAGCTGCATATGTTCAAACAGTTTCATAAACCTTAAAAAAAAATCCCAAACTATGATATGTATTTATTTTCTGAAGTCAGTCTTCATAATTCTTGTCCCTACAGGACAAAAAGAAAAAAATTTTCCAGTTAAGACATATGACTGTAAATTCTAGGGTAAGGGGGGGAAAAGCGTTCCGAATTTTTCAATAGACTTTTTTCCCTTAGGGCTCAACTGTCACTTAAGCATCACAAGAACAAATTGAAATGTAAAACTGATTAGCTATACACAATGGAATTGGTCACAAAGGGATTTAAAAAAAAAAAAAGTTAAACCATAAGATCCATTCTCCATATAGCTCACAGTATCCACACTGGAAGTTTCTCTAGAATTAGATTAAGTTCGCTAAAAATAACGCTGAAGATAGAATTTCAGCACTATGAAACAGATGAGATGGGATTAAGAGGAGAACCCATTTGTGTAAGTACTTTATCCAGCCACTGGAGAGGCCCATGGAGATGAATTTCTATCCAGCATGGGGTGCTTGTGACATCTTGTCGGTGATATTCAGCTCCCCAGCCCTACAGAAACGAACAAAATGTTACCAATCAAGTTGCGAACATACTTGTCTTTCAAAATAACTGTACTAACAAGAAGCAGGAAACCATGTTCTAAGATCTGTAGGTAACTCACAATCTAGCAACACTTCTTATCTGAAGGAAAAAAACAACTGAGGCTGGGAAGGAGTGGGAGGGAAGCTGCACCTGGAAGCCTGAATCAAGTCTCATCTGCTACAGACTTGTAGCGACTACACGAGCTCCTCTGTGGTACACACTGCTGACTCGAGAATGACTCCTGGCTATGGCCACAGCTCTCTTCTGTTTCTCCCTCCTGCTCCCTATCCTCCACACTCTCAAACTGAGCTGTATTTAGCATAACTGACAAGACAAGACATCTTTTGGACAAGATGCAAAAAACCCCAGAAGGCCCAAGTCTAGACTCCATGCTAAATCTGAAACGGGCAGCATCTTGGTTAAACAATGTTGAGAAAACACTACTGTGAGAATAACAGCACAGTTTGATTTCAGAAATTCAAATCATGTCTTTTTTCCATAATAATTTCTTTTTAAAAACAATATTAATATCTTTGAAAGAGCTGCATTTTTTTCTGCAATCACTTCTGCTCCTCTCACATTCTTAGGGTCTTGTAATTCACTTTGTTCCTTCATATTTAGAGCATGAGCTCAAATCTTCTTTAATAAAATTATAGCAACCAGATCCCTCTCCTGAATACCGAAGTAACTAAATACATAGCCAACACTCAACAAAGCAATCTGTGCTTTTGCTTTCTTGCACTGATTTCCCTCTCCCCAAATTAACCATTTTCAACATACTTATCATTGAAAAGAACCACATCAGTTCAGAATAGCTTTGCTACGTTCTTACAGTGCTAATGTAATTACTGCTGAATACTCAAATCCACAATAAATTTGAATGCCCTCAAAATAATTTGTTTACCTTTACAAAGCTCATTCGAATGGTGCACATTTTGGTGAGTTCGTATACTGCTTCAAATCCATGGTTGACAGACTGAGCCAAAAGCTGAGCGAACTCCTGATTGTTAAAAATTTTCAGACTGCATCCACTCGGAATCTTGCATACAGTTGTCGGATGAAAGCCATGGTGGTAGTTGCAGTTCCTGCTCTGTACAAATATGCTGCTATCACTTAAACACTCAGCATAGACTTCCCCACCAACATAGTAGAGATGAACTCCTTGGAAACAAAGATAAAAATGCTTCAAATTACTTTTATTTCCAAAAATATAGTACTTAATATAATCCAAGACAGCAAATTTTCTGTTTGAGAAGCTTTTTAGAAAAGCTCTTTTGCCCACACTATAACATACTTCTCATTTGAAAATACAGTAGACTTCATTATACATCAGCCACTAGATGTCCTTCTCTCATCAATTACAGAATCGAAAGAAAAAAAACCCTACTTCCACACATCAACAGTTATTTCAAGCTATTCTCCTAGAGAACTTATGTGGATTTTAAAAATCCCGTTTTATAGAACTGGTAGCTTCTGCCTATGGCAATTTCAACAGAAATAAGTGTCCTGGGAGAAGGTGCAGTGATAGACATGAATGAAAAAGTGTATCCATAGTCTGCTCTGATTTTCAATCTATTTTTATCAAGCAAAAAGAGATGTAAGTCCAATTAATTGCACAACTTAAATATCATCAGGCTTTACAGACCTTAAAATCAACAATGCCCCTAGATTTATCACATCTGCCTGGATTTAGCTGTGTTGAATAGCACTCTGCTTCCCTCCCTTTATATTCTGAAGCCTGCGTAACACTATTTCTGACTAAAAATTGATATATGAAAGCTGCTAATCCTTTCAGCATCCAAACACAGACTCTCACTGCTACTTCAGTTGAGATACTCACCTTCCTTTTATATCTCCCTTTCCCCCACCCACCACTGTTATACGGTTGGGATACAGTTCAGTTTAAGGCTTCCTTGCAATACCCTGGGAATCCACTGCAGACTATCCCGTGGTTTGCCAGATGAGGCTGCAGCAAGTCAACAGATGCAAGTTAATCTTTCAGACAGCAGCAACTGTTCTGAACATTGCTAGAGCCACTTGGGACTACGGTAGGATGAAGGTTACACAGAGGATCTTCATCAACTATAAGCAGCTATCAGAAAATCTAGGGGTAGGCAAGAATGCATTTTTCACAACACAACCCTATTCATTTAAAAAGACAGAGACCACCACTTGCTAGCTAAGTTCTTTTGGGTAAAGACCTTCTGAGAGATTTCTGAAGGCAGCTGGGTAATACAACAGTCTGAGAAGAACGCAGATTCTTCAAAAATAATCCAATGCACAATTAGGAGTCACGTTTGCAACCCAACACTTCTACACAATCCTATTTGCTAAGCTTTTTTCTGTAGTTATAAGGAGGGGAAAAAAACACAACCTTCCAAACAAAATCCATAAATAAATAGTACTTTATCCCAAAACAATCTTAATTGTTCTCAGAGCTGTTACCATAAAACAAAGTTTTAGTTTAATAATCTGTATGAGACACGTAGACATTTTAAAGCTCATTGCAGCATCACTGCATCCCTCTGCAACATGATGTTGGATCCTCGTTAGATTTCTGACCTTAGGGGGATGCAAAAGATTCCTCTGCTAGTCAGAATTCCGTAAGTCAAAACAAAAGAATCTGACAAACAATCCACACCCCAGAAATCAGTTGTTCCCCCTTTATAACAATACATCTTCCTCGAACAACAGAATTGCAGAGACAATTTTCCAAGACACGAATATATCTCATGGTCTCCAGAGATTCTGCAAAATTTTGCCATGTTTATAGTAGTTTCTAATGAAAAGACTGATAAGGGACAGGATAGGTCTCAAAGAGACACTACACGCAACAGTGACTTTCATTTAGAAAAAAAACACCAAAAACAACTCAAGATGAACTGTACCAAATGCTTTTGGGTGTCAAAAGGGCCTCTAGATATGCACGACAGAAACGGGGTTCTCTTCTCAGGACTGACTACGTTACAAAACAGGAGATATGCAGAAAAGGAATACTACATTTTAAGGTAATCCAAGTACATTCCATCAAAGATGAAAACGGTGCATCTATATGTGCTATCAGTCAAACAGCAGAGGAAAACTAGAAGATCTTGCAAAACCTGCTGTCTCCAGGAATCCCTCCCACACACATACACACCCCATGGATTCACTCAGACAAATGAGCCCTTGCAGTTCTGCATTAGCACTTCAAAGTCCTGCTGCCAACTCATGCAAGATATTTGAACGTACTGTAGACAGCAGCATAATACCTTGCACGAAAAACAAAATAAAAAAATATCTTTGATATCCTGTAAAGTGGTATGAAGAATCTGATTTAAGAAGCAGATAGAATATCAGAAGTCCTGCAATACGTTTCTTGGTGCTGAAACACAAAATTCTACATACAGACTACCATTAACCATTACAAACAAGCCCCTATAACAATTTAGTTTGGTAAGAAGATGTAATATTTAATCTTTTAAATTAGTGCCAAAATAAAATGCATGCAATTCCTAGACTAATTAGAACCAAACTATGCCTAAGTGAGTTGTCTTCAGATACTGGAGAGCTAGGTAATGTATCACGGATTACTTCTACTATTCTTATCTGAGAATAATCATTGTTGCAGCATAGAGAAGTAGAAATAAAAACAAGGACTTGGCTTCTTAATCATGCATAACACAACTAAGCTTTACCTTTTCCAATATGTCGTCTAGTGTTCTCAATTGTTGAGTTGCGATTAACATTTGAGAGCAAACCTAAGCAGAACCTGTTTTTATTATTGGAGGGATCTGTAAATCCGTCTACTAAGACACTTGTAGAAGATGCATGAAAAGCCTCCCCAACACGATTATTTAATTCGTAATACACAATCGAACACCAGTGTTTGGGTTCTTCATAGGCAACAGGCTGAACATCTGAAAATAAGCAAAATGGAAATAACAGTTTACATAAGTGTTATAATATTACATCTAAAACTGTAAAGCAGGCCTTCCAGAGTATCAAGAGATAACCAAAAGCTTAGTCAACAATTATGATGGGCAAGAATACTCCTGATTAAGATCTTAATGATTTTTAATTTCATGCATTGTAGCTAGACCATTGATTTTATAATTATTTTCCTATTTTAAGCCTGATATTAAACAAAAAAAAACGCCCTACATATACACAAAAAAAGATGACTGATATCAGGCAAACCCCGATTCTTTTGTCCACTTTAAAAAAAAAAAATTAATTGGTATTTTGGGACTCAATTTTCAGAGCCTTTGTGCATACACAATTCCAAGAGCAGGCAAAGGTAGCAGAAGACTAATTCTGACAAATGAAAAAAGTTCAACTTGTTGTAAGCCATACTACACACCTGACACTTTAAAAGCAAGAGATGCACATAAGCAAGGTAAGTTTTATTTCTCAATTCTTTCTGTTACAGCCCCAGTTTGCCTTGGAGGACTTTTCCCACTTACCAACAAGGTTTACTGCACAATTTGAAGTTATTAATTTAATTTGGTCATGAGTTGTAAAAAGCCAAACTACGTTAATTTTACACCATACTATACAACTTACCTCTGGTTGATATATTTGGCATGATTTGAGGGATCATTGTATTGCTTGTGTCCATAGACTGAGAATTATCCTGCCCCATTTGATCATCAGGGGGCATATATGCAGGAGGTGGAGTATCAGCTACAAACATTAAAAAATAAGAATAAACCAGAATAAAACTCCACAATTTAGAATATTTATTTATTCATTCTACAGTTGTAAACACACAGAAATACTCTTGAAGAAGAGATATTAAAGCATTTGGACCCATTTTCAAAGTAACCTGAAGACAACCCAGCCAGGTGTCTTTACAGTAACCTCCATCAATAGTTGGATTCTTAGCTATGGGGCTAATAACAAGATTGGACAATTGAGGAAAACTAAGAAACATGCTTTAACTGAGAAGTGTTGTTTGTTTTTTTTTTTTTAAAAAAAAACAACCACCGCACTCCTGCAACTGGGCAAGAGGACTATAGTTCCCATTTACACCCCCCCAACACAATCATTAGCTTTGTTGACCACCCTCCTCTTCTCCATGTTTAAAAAGAAAGAAGTAGTAGAAGAAATAACTTTATATGCCATAGCATAACGAAGGCCTAAACCAGTTTTGTTTTTTTTCTGCTTCTATAGGCTGAGTTCATTATAGAAGCATGGACCTCTGCACTCTTCCATTCAGCACAGTAGTCAGCGTACCAACACACCATTATCCCGTATTTCAGAAATTCCCTCCAGATACCATTAATGCATCCGTCCCAGTGATCACAGTCCTTACCCAGGAAGGACATACCACCGAATGGACGCTTTCTGTGGCACTAAACAGCCAGAAAGAACAAACATGAGGCCACTGATGTACTAGACAAATAAGTTCTTTGATCTGTTAACTCCTTGGGTTTATAAACCACACCAATAACCAGACACTCAATAAGGCTCCTTTCCTTTGCCCCATCCATTGTTTTTTTCCTCCCCATTTTTCACTCAAATTGGTTAAGTTCCTGTTAGAAATTTGCTCTATTTTGTTTTCCAGTTAAACACCACATGTAAGCATCTTTATTTAGAGCAAAACATCAATAAACTTCTTGCTCAGCCTCTTGCATCTGCTTTCTTTTTGTTGATAGGTATTCTTTTGAAGTATGTATCAGTTATTCTACATTGAAGCTGTGCAAAATAACTCACCACTATAGTATCCGTGACAAAAAGCATTTGGAAATATAAAAGTGTAACAGTTAACTCTGACCAGTAACAAAACTAGGAAGAAAACCCCCTAAAATGCAAACAGAAAGCAATTTTATGCTAGTTTCACAAATTCCTGAGGTGTTAAGACACAAAAATAATAAAATGTCGCATTCTGTTATGTAGTTAACATTTAGGCTGTACTTACCCGGTAGCTGAAACGGACTAGATGGTCCAGAGCTAGCTGGGGAGCTTGGGTAAGTGCTGCTGGCTGGAGAAGGTGGATAGGGACTGTTTGGCGAAATGGAAAATGGAGTGCTGTTGGGCTGCTGGAAAGAATCTGGAAATGTTGCGTTGTGTGGCATATGTGGTTCATTGTGGCTTAGGTTCCTGAACTGAACTAGTAGACTGTGCTGTGGATTGAATTCACTATGTCTAGGCACTAACACTGGAGGTAGAACTGAAAAAAAAAACAAAAAACAAAAAACAGGGAAACAAGATTAAAAACTGAGATAGAAGGAAAGAGAGACAAATAATGTGCTCATCATGAAAACCTCAACACTAGTTGGAGTGGAAAGGGAAGTACAGGATTCATCTGTCATGCCTTTACCCCATCCTCTCTCCTTCATTTTTTTTACATTACACTTCATGGAAGACTCAAACTTTACTCTCACAAAAATCAGAGCAGAAACACACTTACATTTCATGCAAACAGAAGCCTTTTGGCTTCTTTTTTTAAAAAAAAACCCAAACAGTACACATGTGGCATGCAGCAAAGTACTGATTTAGAAGTGCAAAACTCACTGTACGTGTACATTATCAAGTCAGTAAAAATGGAAATACAGTCTATATCGCTATAGACAAACTACATAGTAACATCTAGTCCTTTTCACTGAAGACAAACAAAATCTATACTACAATATACAACTATTGCTAAGCTGGTGTTTTAACTTAAATTCAAGAGTGCTGGAGTCTGGAATTCAAGTGCTACAGCCGGTTGCAGTAGAATTACAACCATTTTGTGGAACAACGGAAGGAACTTTTCTCTATACTTTCCAGAGCAACATAATTCATCGCAACCCACAATCCTCCTCACCTTCTTCTGTGGCAACATGCCTTAACAGCAGACTTGCTACCTGACACAAATTTGGTATGTACCTTGCTCTAACCGATCGTCACTCTTGGTTCTGTTCAGCTCTGCTGCCTGCTAATGGGAAATCAAGTGGGGAACGCTGCACCCTAGAATTTTAATTCTATCTCCTCAATTTATGTCACTCACTGATGAAATATTAAGCCCCTGAAAGAAGGCTACCAACCTCCTTGTAAGGACTGAGGTTTTTAAGCAAGTTTTTTTTAAAGAAACAAGTCTTTTGATTACTACTTTACTATTTTATTATAAATGAGGACTTTGCCTCTAACTTTAAGGGTAGCAGCCTTCAAAGATCTGTGGGAAGTGTGATTTACCACAAAGAAAACCAGCTGGTACAGAACGGACAACACACCTCCCCAGAACCCCACCAGAAAACTATACTTTGAATATTCCTCTTCCAAACTCCCCCATACACCAAGTGTAGTTTGTTATACAGTACTGGAGCAGGAGGAAGAGGAGAAGGAGGGAGTGAACAAGGGTGGTTCCTGGATTTTGGTCGGATTTTAGACAGCCATGTTCAAACATACCTGGGCTCTCCACCCTCTTATAGTGGTATGGATTGATGCAGACTTCTTTCTGTTTAGATCCAAAAGGAAATTCACAAATATCCAATGGCTTCAGCTCGTGATGGCTCTGTAGATCAGGCCAACGCCAAACACGACAGTAAATTACATGGGGAAGGCCTTTTCTGTGAGAAACTTGAAGTCGTCCATCTAAAGAGCGAGGAATAGTAACACACTTGCTGGGCTGTCCTGGACTGCTCAAGGCTTTCTCCAGTTCTTCCATAGCACCCTTTTTCTTTTTCAGCTTTTTTACCAAAGCATCAACAGCTTTTTCTGCCCATTTTTCCTCTTCATCTCCTTGTTTCCAGCCCAACAGACGCTTTACAGCTGGGCTAGTAAAGGAGAACAAACTGGCCATTGACGTCATTTGACACAAGTCTTCAAAAGGTTTGTTGGGTTTTGTCTGTTGGGGGTTTTTTTTGTTTATTTGTTGGGGTGGGGTTTTTTTCAAATAAATGTCAGTGTATAACAAAAGCAGTTATTGCCACCGATGAGCTGTATTATTTCTTGGAGATTGACAAATGAACATATAGATGTCAGTGATGAAGTCTTCACATAAAAATAATAATCGATTCCTCCAATTTAGTTCTATTAAAAAAATAAGTTAACAAGTAATTAGTAAACAAGTAAAGAATGTGGTAAAACAAAAAAGGCAGATATTAAAAGAACGTTTGTTTCAACCCTAGCCATTGCACCTGATTCTATTTCAAAACAAAATCCCAGAAGTACTAGGATCTCAATTCAAAGCTAGATAAAGTAAAACGTGATCAGAGTCCACAGTTCTTGCATTACTGATTAGTAGGAAGAGCGACAGTCAAGGCACCAAAGGGACAGCACGATTTCCGTTAACAACGCTCCTTAAATCTGTGACTTTCCTTCAGAAGACAGGCTTGGGGAATACTCTTGAAAACTGGTATTACATCCCTGTCACAGTGCTTCACCAGAAGACTCAAATTTGCTACGAAGAAACAGGGAAGAGGCACGGTAGAACCAGTAGTTCCACAGCAAATACTGCACAAAAGTACTCAGCTCCTCAATTGGATCTTTATTTCACAAAAGGAGAAAATACTAAGGCATCTACTTGTTCTTGAGCTCTAATTAGGTACCCCATGTTTTTTGAAGAGCAATAGAAAAAAAAAATGAGGAAGAAACTGTAGATAATTAAAAGAAAGCCAAAAACGCTTAACAGAAAAACCCAATAAAAACCTCACATCAGCCCCTCCCCAGACACTCAGAAAGGTGGTCAACCTTTTCAGCTGAGGCTATTTTTATGCAGCACTTCCTTATATCTTTTAATGGGAATATTTGAAGCACTGGATGTTTTCAGCCTTTGGAAGAGGAAAAAAAAAAAAGTTTTCTTTTCCCCAGAAAAAGGGGGGGGGACGGGATGCGTGCTGGAGTAAGTACTAGAAATGTGACCTTTACTACAAACTGCCTCAGAACAGAAAGGAGCTGAACAACATCGTGCAGCTCAAACTGTGCTCATGAATGGTGGTGTTTTCTACCGCTCACCAGCTCTAATGCAAATCCCCCCCCCCCCCCCAATTTAAGGAGTAACGATGACAAGAGGAAATGATGTGCTGTGGCAACGAACTGATAAGAACTTGTAAAATCCCTTGTGAATACTAAATAAGCAAGTATAGACAATGAGCAGCTGGCAAAAAGCAAGAGCAGAGCTAGGAGAAAGGATGTCAATAACAAAAGATGCTTCCTTTCTTGCTACAGAGACTGCCAAACAACATTGTCTCTCAACTTTTGATAAACTGTGGTGAATTAGAACACCTAACATACTCCGAGACTACCAAATCTGCACATAAGAGAAAAAGGTGTGTGTGGGGGTAAAGCACGATTTAAGTACCTCTGTGCTGCTTCTCTTAGATTGCTACCTTTAATCAAGGGCATCTTTTTTCCTCCCACCTTTGATTAACTAAAAAGTAATCTGATAAGGCTTTTCTAAGTGTCTAAGCACATTTACAAGCTCACTCAGACACATGGATGGGTACTTTCTTATAACAGACCCATGTATTAAGCATCAAGAGCCAAAGATAGAGCAAACATCCCTAGACAAAGCATTTATAGTGTCCCACATGTAATCATCCCAGATTTTCTGCTGGCAAGGTGAGGAAAGGAGAGAACAGACCCAAGGGCACTTGGCTTTGATGAAGAGTATAAGTTCAAAAACTTATAAATGCCCTTTTCAGGAAAAAATCTAGTTATTTCACACAGTAGCTTAATCCCATTGTTGGTACTTTGATTATTTAGCTTTGTTTCAATAATATGGAAAGAACTGCAAAAAGCAAAACAAGCAGAAAAACTGTTTGAAGATCTTTCTTCCTAAGCTATCAGAAAAAACAAAATTAAAAAAAAAGAAATTAAAAGAACAAAAGTCTCCCACTGCTTCAAAAAGTCCTTAGAAGAAAGTATTGCAAAAAGAAAATTTAAAAAAATATATATCTCCTTATTTCTGAAGAAATAAGGGCACGTCTACACTTTAAGTATAAATTTAGTTCCCTAGAAGTATTACACATGAGAACCTTTGCACTCTTCAAAGTAACAGGAAATACATAAAGGGAGATAAACTTGGCCAAGAACACAGACTAAATTTATTCTTTTACTGAGGATAAAAGTTTACTGTTCTAAAAAGTAAAAGCTGTTTATAGTCCCAATTAACTTATTTCCAAGCCCTGCGTACATTCAATAGCTCTAAGACATCAGAACTTGCTCACACCCCTAAAAAAGGAAATGAACCCACCTAGAATCTCAGACCAGCAAGAAGACAATTAAAAAGTTCTATTTCTGTTTCTCAGCTATGCTTTCAAAGAATCTTAAGAATCATCAAGGCAGAACATACACTAGAAACTCCGATACTTAAGTTGAGGTCAGAAGAGATGTCAAGAAATGCCTCTTGGCTGTTGCCACTCTGATCTGTTCCATTACAGCTGTCCCATACACATTATGCGATTGAGCCTACAGACTACGATTCTATTCTATGATCATGTATAATTTTTCTTTTTTTCTTTTTTTAAATTTGGAACACAGTAACATGCAGCAACTAGGAATGAAATTTTACTGGTTGTATATCATTTCAACATCATTTACCCACAAGTATGCTCATGGAATAAACAAGCTAACTAAAAGCAAAGAAAGCTGGAACAGTTCTACTAAAATGGTGCTTTGCCATAACTAGTATTTGTAGGGCAAGTATCAAGAGAATTTTGATAACTAACTGTTGTATAAACTATGATTTTAGAAATAATCTGCTTGGAGTAACATAATTAGCTCTAAAAACTTCACATTAGTCTGAATACCTATCAACAGAAGCAAAACCTAGTCGAACAAGTGTTCCAGAAGCATCATAACAGATTTGATCAAAACTGTTGCAACGTCTAAAAAAAAAAAGTTTCCACATACATACTTGTACTGTAACCACTGAAAAATGAGACTGTTGAAGTTCAAAACATTAACAGCATTTACTGTAAATCCATTCTGGCCACCCATGAGGCTTTCAAGACTCTTCTACTGAAGCATACTTTTACCTGTTCAAGAACAGCAAGGGCAGAAAAACGCTGCAACAAACTGATAAGCTTTGAGAGGTACAAATGACACCAAATTTGCCTCATTATAGGCCTTTCGGAAGTTCATTCTGGGAGGCAAAAATACTGCGGGTTTACAGCTTTTGCTTTTTCTTAAGAAAACGAGGTAGTATTTAAAAGCTTCATTAATTATCTGTAGACTAAAAGCATTCCCTTCTTTGGAGCTATTTAAGGTCACAAAGCAGCAGGTTCAGGCATTTATGCAGAAACCAAACATTTTCATGTAGAAACTGCAACTCTTGTAGGGTTTTAAAATTTCTGAATCAATGGCATAAACCACATTTAGGACATTTACTTGTATTTGTAATTTCAGCATCTAATTTTTGAAAGGTTTCTAAGTAATCATGACATCTGCTAGAAACAGCTTTACTGGATCATCTATATTTACAATCAATTTCTTCTGAGGCTTTAAAAGTGCATGTTATGAGCGGTGATTGCAGTACAACAGTGCATCTCTGTAAGATCTGAGCACAGAAACAAATGCTTTAGAGAGTCACATTTTCATTCATAGTTTTGCACAAATTACTGGTATTGTTGCACCTCTAGACGCAGCTGGTAACAACTGTCATGGGGGAAAAAAAAAGCTTTCTTAAATTTCCTTAAGAGGCAGAGGGTCTATTATGCATTACCTTCTTTTATTGAATAACTTTTCAGCTGAGCTACAAGAGAACCTGGGCTGAAAAACATGCTATTACATTTAAAAAAAAAAGTTACAAATGCTCTTTAAAGAGTGAGCATAATGCATTGCATGGGGTAGCATGAGGGGGCTTTTAATGGGTGAATATAAAAGGAAGTAAATGTTGTATCAAAATTAGACTTTGGGGCAGGCATTATTTATACATTTAAAGTTCTTGTTAATGACTACAGCAAATGCAAGGAAACTAGTTGTGTGAACAGGTCCATTGTTTGAACCCCTTCTTAATACCTCATCAAGCCAGCTAAATATACACAAAGCTGGTTAACAGCAGAACTTACAAACCACATTTCATTTGTGAAGATGGGAGAAATACTCTATCTTTCATCTACCATCACAAATACTATGCAACTCAACTACCTTTAGGTTCCTCTTCTGAGATTTTCTTAGCCTACTATATTAAACTGGCAAGCTGAGTAGATTAATTTGACTCTCTATCAAGGAATCTTCTGGCTAAAAGGGCCTAAGTGGGACACACAGCAGAACAGGTCAATATAAAATTACATACATTGTATTTATTTTAGAGACGCATTTTTTGTGTAACATGTTCTGCCATTGATTCCAAACTAATCTCCTATCTACAAAATCTAAAGTACTATTAACCAAGTAACCCATCACCCCAAGCAGCATGGCAACGAACGATGCTTTTCACAAGCGTAAGAATAAAATGAGTAACAACTACATGATCCTCATCCTTTCCTACTGCCAATACTAAGCTTGCATTGCAAATGCACAAGCACTACTCTTTTCCTGCTTAGTTTACTTGTTTGCAAATTAAGAAAGCATCCTTTAGCACCATACCCAATCTGAAATAAGGAACTTCACTGCTCACGATTAGAAGCTGCTCCGAGACTCAATTTCATAATATAAACAAACCACCACTTATAACTACACAGTTGGTAGTTCATTAGAGCTGCTGCAGACTTGCAGTTAAAACTGTTTTGCAGTCAGCTCTTGTGCCTTACTTTATTGCCCCTTCAAACTTAGAAATGCTCAAGTATTTTGACTCCATACACTCGTTAACACATTACACATTCATACAGAAAGCTCAAACTTAATTACAGCATGTTACAGCATATCACACTATATTCAGTTATCAGTATTTTCTTTAAAACTACAACCTCACACATCTATTTCACCTGGTTTTATTAAGGCCCTTCTTCCCTTATAAGTTTCCTGACAGGAATTTTGCAGGATTGTGCCTGGCTTTTATTATCATTTTCCCAGGTCTACATCTTACATTGTAGCCTAGCACAGGGTCCCATGCAGTGGCATTCATTAGAGCCTTTTCTTGAGGACAA